GCGCGCAGGGTGAGCCGCTGCGGCCCGGCCGGCTCTCGCAGCGCGTGGCCGCCGCCGCGGTGCTCGGCCTCGGCATGCTGTCGTTCCAGTTCTACACGGCCGACCTGCTGTCGCAGGTGACCATGGAGCGGGCGCGCCTGCCGTTCGCGCAGCCGGACGACGTCACCCGGCTGGAGGACTGGCGCTGGGCCGTGCACTATCTATCGCTGTCCTACCTAGCGCTTCGTGACCACCCGAGGCCAGGGATGAACTTCACACATGCTATTGATCGGGCGTATCTCAAAGGTGGCATGAACCAATGGATAGACCAGGCCCAGTCGGGAAAGTTTGCCTTCTTCAGTGCGGCGTCGGACGTTCTGTCTGCGTGTTCTTTGGATCGTTGTCCGCGAGTGTGCGGCCACCCTCAGGCACTGACGAAGGACTCTGGAGCTCTGCCGTTCCGGCGCGGTCTGGCCGAGTGGCGCGCCTTCGACGCCGCCCTGCTGCGACTCATGGAGACGGGTGTGCTGGACCGGCTGAGGCGGCGCCGACTGCCCGAGCGGCTGCTGCGCGGTCTGCAGCGCTGTGACCTGGAGGCGCGGCCGCGCTCCCACTGGTCGCCGCTCGGCCTCTCCGAATGCTGGCCCGTGCTGGGGGTGCTGCTCGCCGGCACCGGCGCCGCGCTGCTGCTGCTCCTGCTAGAGATACTGGTGCACCGGCTAACCCCACAGCTGGCTGGCAATGTCTGCACCAAATTCCGTCATAGTGTAGAGATAACCACCCTTACTCTTAGCACAAACAAGTAGTCATTGGATAATACATATACAAAAACGTTGTCTCTTAGGTGCCATTTGTCTGAGCGGGCTAGAGGGAGCGCCGGGGTAGCTGCAGGTGGCAGTTGTGGAGTTGGGCTGTAGGTGGCGGCTGTCGGACCATACTGCAGGGGCACCTCGGTCGGACCGATACTGCAAGGGGCAATTGTCGGACTGACTGCGGGCTACAGTTGTAGAGCCGGACAGCGGAGGGCAGTTGTCAGACTGGACTGGTGGAGGCAGTTGTCGGACCGGACTGCAGGGGGCGCTGGAACAGCTGCAGAGGGCAGCGCAAGCGCTAATGTGACGGCCAGTTCCCCTGTAAAGCAGCTCAGAAACTGGTCGTTTAGAGCTCTACAGAGTTGAATATCTCCTATCTCTTACTTCTCTATAATGGTGCGACGCTACCCATATAAATGACGTTAACCCGCGCACCGACGGGGGGGGGGGGCGGATATCCGCCCCCCCCCCTGAGGTTTTTCGCGAATAGCGGGAAAACTGCGGCGCGTAGCGCCGCGAAATTTGGTATGACTATAACCTCATCAATTTTACACATGGTGTGCAAGTTTGAACTTCCTACCTTTTAAGGTCAGGTCACCAGGTCACTTTGAATGACCCAACCTCAAGTCACTTTTTTGCAACTTTGTCACCGTGCCACAGGTACAGTAGATGTCGGAGGCCTTTGAAAGTCGTAGGATATTATTAGGTCATTAGTAGCTACAATTTGTATATCTCGGAATTTTGATATCGGTGACCTAAGGTCAGGTCAATTTCGCGACCTCCCCATTATAAGTCAATGGGGGAAAAATCAACTCCCTGTTTTTACCACTAAAACGGGTCGGAATGGCCCCATATACTTTACATGACTTCATATACGATCAACCTTCACTACCTTGAGGTCTGTTTTGCTGTTGGGCAGCTGTGAGGTCATGTGACGTCATCAAAGGTCACCAAAGGTTTTTGGCCAATAACTCCGTACAGGAACAAGATACAGACGCGTGGGTGGTCTCATTGTGTTCAGCTCGTCAAGACGCATCGAATGATATAAATGATGACCTCGAGGTCACGTGACCTGAGGTCAACCTTACCTTTGACCTTGACCTTTCGAGGTCAACATATATATCATTCGATGCGGATTGACGAGAGGATCACGATGATGCCCTTAGTTTGTTCCTATCTTGACTAATTCGAAAGTTATTCGAGAAAAACTCTCTCCATATCTAGCGCCGCCATTTTGACTTTTTCGACCCCTGTGACGTCATCTTTGACCTGACCTGAAAATGACCTTAGTAAAAATTGTAGATCTTGGCCGTGCGTATCCGATGCTGTTTACCGCTTGTCGCTATCTTGCTTCGTTCTCGAGATCTCAGGGGGGCGGTCATCCGCCCCCCCCCGTCGGTGCGAAGTTGGCGCAGACCCCCGTCGGTGCGCGGGTTAATCATCGCCGTACCTATCGGCTTTTCACATACGCTTCGACAGAGTGGAAACTGGTGGAGCCCATCCACCCCCTCGCCGTCTAACCCTCAATTGAGCTAGATCGTCGCCGAAAACGGAGCGGGTCGCTGTTGCGGGATACAGCCACTGGTACCCGATTTTAATGTCATAGGTCAACCGGTGTCCGGTGATCTCAAAGGTCAGGTCAAGTGCCTCAAGGTAGGGATTTTATGATTTAGTTTTCGGTCAATAACGTCGCCAAAAATGGACGCAAAGCAGCGACTTCGACACTATCATGTGTATGATGCCTAGGCACGTCGAAAAATGTGGGTACACCTGCTAGGGAAAAGTCAACAAAGGGCATTTATTGACCTCAGGTCAAGGTCAGGCCAAAGCCACTCAAATCACGAGGGCAGTCGGAGGTCGCATCGCATATCATTCGATACTGCACATAGTCCATTGGTGTCTTTTCCTTTGTTATGTTGACCAGGAATTATTGACGAGAACCGATGATGACCTCAGTGATGTCATATATGACGTCATGCAAGGTCAACAGTGCAAAAGTCTACCTTTGCCCAGATGCGCGCGGGGAGGGAGCATTTTTGGCAACACTCGCCAGGTCGTGTAAAGAAACCCACGGACTAAAAGGCATCGGTTTCACATCGTTTGTACGATCGATGACCCCAGATCACATAAGGTCAGGTCATCAGGTCAGCCTTCAGGTCATGGAATTACGACGTTACCTGGTTGAGGTGGTCTTGGATTATTTCCGGCGCCAAGACATCAGTTTTCGTATTTTCTCATTTAAGTATAACGTTGCTTGCTGAGGTTACATCACCGACTTGACCCCAGATGACCTACATGAAAAAGTTTAGATATGCAAGTTGTGAGGCCTTGGGAGGTCACTAAGTCCGATAGGTTTCATTTCCCTGGGGAAGATTCCCTTACAGCTGAGGTCTTTCTGAAATTAGGGTTTCGTTTCATAAAGCGACTCCGTAACTTACAGCGGTTTTTGGTCTTGTATTGCAAGCGCATGTGAAGCGATGATGATAGTTTAAATCGTTGAATTTATTTATCTTGCAAGCAAGAACATAAGGGAGAAGGGGAAATAAATTTATCGCTTCACATGCGCATGCAATACAAGCCCAAAAACCGGCGTAAGTTACGGACTCGCTTTATGAAACGAGGCCTAGCCCTCGCCCTGGCAGGGGGGGGGGGTCGATGCGACCCCCCCCCAAGGTTTTTCGAAGATAGCGTAAAAACGGCGGCGCGCAGCGCCCCAAATTTGGCACAGCCTATGGGGCAACCTTTTTACATATGACCTGAAAATTTCAGGTCCGAGTGACCTTGGGTCAGGTCACCAGGTCAGAAAAACCGGTACAAGGTCATGGTCAAATTTCAATTTTCTTTTTGCACCTGTCCAACTCACATTTTTTGACTGATTTCCTTCAAACTTTCAGGATGTGCTAAGTTCACCGAGTTGTATAACATATAGTCCGGCTTTTTTGAGGTCACTGACCTGAGGTCAGTTAGAGGTCATTACGTCGTAATGTTAAGCCTATGGCAAAATACTAAATTCGGAAAATACTGGAGATATCCGCTTCGTTCTATCACTTTTGTGCTTTGAAACCACGGTACTTAACAGCAGGTCACTTGGTGCTTCTTTGTTTGGTGTACTTATCCATGGGTCAGGTCAAATGAGGTCAACTGAGGTCAAATGACGTTTTTGCCAATAACTTGGCACATAATGACACTAGAGCTTAAAAAGTGGTATCATTGTGTTTCTGGTGATCAGCCGAATTGAATGATATGCGATATGATGCAATTTGGTTAACTTGAACTTAATTTATTAATTTAAGTTTACTTAAAATTTAAGAAAAACTTTAAGTACACTTAAGCAAGCTAAAAAGTATATCATTCGACGCGCCTTGACGTGCTGAGTTCACTGGTGCTTTTCTTTTTGCTCTATCTTAATTAGATCAAAAGTTATAAGCGAAAAACTTTTGACATGCTTTTAGCGAAATTTTTACATTTATACCCCCCAAAATCCCCCTAAATATTGACCTAGAGCAACCAAATTTGCACAGGGGCGAGAACTCCAGAGGGCCCACCTACCTACCAAATTTGGTGTTTCTAGGTGCCATAGGAGCCAATCGCGAGGGGGGGGGGGTCGCATCGACCCCCCCCCCCTGCCAGGCCGTGTTATGAAAAATGCCCTGCCAGGGCGAGGGCTAGGACGTTTTATGGCCCTGCAAATGTTCCATTATGACCTCATGTGTCAATGGCCTGACCTCACTTGAAAAATCGGTTAGTGTTACAAGATATGGTTTGTATCAAAGCTCAATTGAACCGACCTAAACCGGCTAAAATCATCTCTCCAATAAAATTGAGTTTTTCCCTTTAATTCGACCCGACTGATCTATAAAAGACATTTTCATGCAAGTGAAAGGTAATTCAGGTATTATATTAAAAATTGAAGAAAAAAGTTAAATATTAATAATTATGGTTTGTCCTAACTGACAAAACGACCAGTGAAATTAATTAACTTATCGTGTGCAATCTGTATCTTGCATACAAATTTGCCTCATTGGCCTATTCCTCCTCCGCAAAATGTATCGGTGGCTAAAACCCAACAGCCCCTAGGAGGCAGCCAACTGTCCTCCGATTGGCTCGCTGGCATATGACGTCCATTCGCTGGGCGGGGCTTGCCGTTGGGAGCTAGACGTAACCACGGTCCGGGAGGTGTCGGGTACGACCTTCTCCTTCCCTGCGCGCACCATGGCTGGAGGAGGTCTGCTGCAGCTGCTGCTGCCGCTGCTGCTGCTGCACCTGCTGGCGGCTGGAGTCGGTCCAGCAGCCGGCTGTGAGCCGCGGCTGGACCGACCAATGCACGTGCTGCGTCGCGACCCGGCCGGTCTGGCCTGCTGGGGCACCGTGAGAGCGGTCACCTGCTGGGGGCACTGTCAGTCACACGAGGTGAGAGAGAGAGAGAGAGAGAGAGAGAGAGAGAGAGAGAGAGAGAGAGAGAGAGAGAGAGAGAGAGAGAGCGAGAGAGAGAGAGAGAGAGAGAGAGAGAGAGAGAGAGAGAGAGAGAGAGAGAGAGAGAGAGAGAGAGAGAGAGAGAGAGAGAGAGAGAGAGAGAGAGAGAGAGAGAGAGAGAGAGATGTGAGAAAGGTGGGCCATGGGAGAGGGCAGTGCAGCGTAGGTGTTGAGTTACCTATGTGGAAAAGGTCAAAGGGCTTTGGTTGCAAGTAATAAGAGAAATGGAGCTCTGAAATTCGCGAAAAGTACGTACATGAGCAGTATAACCGCCCCAATTTCAAAAACCTTCTATGGGACCCAAGGCAAGCATGTGATATAATGGCATATAATTAAGCATGTGCGAGCAGTGTGCAACCAATATATTATAAATTCTAGTCCTAAAAGTAAAGACGTAACGTCCATCTGTATGTAGTTATAACTTTGTCACTGCTCCTTGCATTTCATTAATTTCTGTTCGTGTCACATTCTTATTTTTCATATCGATGACAGGTCTCTTGCGATATTTTCTGCAGGTCTGATGCAGAGTAGGAATATTGTTTCAGACTGTACCAGAGATATGTTTGAAGTGGTTACAAACTACTGAATAACCACTAAGTTCTTTTGGGTTGTTTTCGCAGGCAAATGCACCAAACTCGAAGCAGTGTGCATTAAAAACTTTCAAGAGCAATTTACCTTCGATCGTTGTTCTGAATATGTAACTACGGCCACATCGGTGTTATGTGTATGAACTGTTTCCCTCGCTAGTTTCCAACTCTTTAGATGAAAAACAATGGAAGATTTTAAAAGTCAAAAGCATTGTTTTTTTTTTGTCGTGTAACAGATATATCTGTAGCCTATTGAGAGCCTATGACAGCCTATGAACAGATAACAGCCTATTGATATTAATGGATCAAAACTTTTGAGATTGAATCCGAAACATTGATAATCTCGTTGCTTTGTCTGTTTCGAGCGCCGTATTTACCTTGTCGCCATACAGGCTGGAAGCTGCCTGAAAGTGGTTGCATCAATCGAACGCTTATCTGTCAGGTTTTTGCCTCCCTGCATTTATTGAAGTGTTTCTCGATTGTTTGTGCCGGACGCCGGTGCTTGCCTTCAGGACATTGTGGGCTGAGTCCCGTCCGTCTACAAGTACGTACATACTCTATGATTAGACGTTCACCATAGAGAAACATGTATGAAAGTAAAACCGTTAGCAGAACGCATTTATGGTGATATTACGCACGCGCAGCCACTACAAATATGACTGATTCTGCGGCAAAATCGATCATGTATGTACTAAGGTCATAGGCGTAAATGCGGTACAAATATAACCGCCTTCCACCTTAGTACAATACACTTCTGATGGTGGAATAAACACTTCCAAATGCACCCACTCGCTAACACATGCGTACATAGGGGCTATTTACAGAACACTTCCCTTCTGATGCAGCCTAGATACCAGTCCTTACTCCTAGACCACCCACCACTATAGTGCCATCGTAATGGCAAATTCGCATTCTTGGATACATTCTGAAATATGCATTTTGATTTCTGGAATTGTTTTTCTCGCAGATTTTACTTCCATGAAAACTGACTATAATAAACGCAAATTCTTGCATATTGACGAAATAGCCGACTTTTTCATCTCATATTTATTGCACCTTCCAGTTGTGAAGCTGTCATTGTGCAGGCGATTAAAGTTGTAAACGACATTCTGATTATATCTAACAAGTAGTAGGACCTTGTTTATATTTTCTTCTACATTTGGGGATGTTGCTACTACAATTATCACAGCAAGTATAAAATATTTCAAAACCACCACTATATTTACCTGTTATTCTTACTATAAGCATAACTGTGTTGAATTTCCTCTTTCAAAATAAACGTTATTCCGCGGACTTCATGCAAGACCGTATGCTTTGATGGATCCAGTCAGAACCATAAAATCAAATCCCCTGTCATCCCCACTGAGCTCCCTTGATTGTCCGCCACTTCCGCATCATGCCCGAGCCACGCGCATGCCTAGCTCTCCTGGTAGTGATTGAGATTCAACCGGCCATATCAGTAGGCTGTCAGGATAAGATCGCGTGATCACTGGTGACTTATTTCACATAGGCAGCGGCTATACGCGAAGCGTGGCGGACTGTGCATTGTCTATTTTCCACGATATGAAATACTCAAAGAAGAAAATGGTCTTCCAAAGGTCTTGCCACGGTAGCCAGATCGACTGAAACATGGGTCGTGTCCCGTAAGCTTAAAATATTGAAAATGAAAACGTGAGATCGCAGGGGAATGATGACTGCACAGTGCACAATATTATAACAATGCACAATGTTATAAGTTATAACAATACACAAAGTTATAACAATACCTTCCTCGTTGTTAGAGGCTACTGACGCACTAATGAATAGTGTAATGAATGAATGAATGAATGAATGAATGAATGAATGAATGATATTTTCCATGCCTCTATTCATGTTTGCAGCATATGTCACGCACATGCTGAGTAATAACCATAGGCATCTTTGTTTTTTCCATGACATCGTTACCTATACCTAAGCCATCCATAGTCGAAAGAAAATGGAGTGATATCATTCTAAAAAAAATGACATCACGAGGCTCGACCAATGACGTAAACAAAATAATGATGCGTGAGGTGACGACTGACGAGGTCATTGCGCTTCTTTTTGTGCTGATGACGCGGCTCCCAGTTCCTCGTCTAACCTTGTTCCAGCTGTTCAGTTCCATATCCCGAGGCATCCCGTTCCGTATAACCGAACCGAGCAGTGCTGGGCGCCTGTGGCGGTCACTGGCAACTGTCACCGGCTGCCTGCCATAATGGTAACTGGACACTGGCTGCGAAGAAAGAAGGAATGTGTTTGTCACAGGAGATCCGGCTGTACTGTTCCGCCTGCATTGACCAGATTTTATGCATTTGTTTTTGTTATGCATTTGTTTATCCATGCGTATACATAAGTTAACTTTAGTTAACTTCAGATCATCTGCATCAATTCTCATTCAGTTATATTTTGAATTTCATTCAAACATAGGGGAAGTTGGGGGAACGCCGAATACTTTTTTTCTGACGCCCGTAGCACGCAAGGTAGACAACATAAGCTATTCTTGTTGGCGTCATTCGAGAGGCCAGTCTTTTGCCTTTCAAACATACCAGGCGCATTTGATGAATTCGCATACCGTTAAGCGCACAAACTAAAAATATCAAAGAAGTGACTTTTTCGGCGTTGCCCCGGACTGCGGGGAAAGCCGAAAATGGGAGAAATGATCTACGGGAATGCCGACATTGATGTTTTGCCACTTTATCTCAAACTTTATCCAGAATTTATCAAAGCTGACACGCGTTTTAAGAGCTTAAGGACGCTTGGTGCACACTGAAAGTTATAATTGTGTGATATAATAAGAAAATGCCAGGTAAATAATTCCTTATAGGTAACAGGCCGTTGTGTCGGTTGAAAGTGTAATTTGTGTGACTAAAAATTCGCGTTGCTATTCTACAGCAGTAAAGTCCACGTAGCGTGCTTTAACGTGCGTAATTGCACGTTTTCGGCATTACCCCAGCCAGCCATACTTTCATTTGCAGGCCCATAACTTTTCAACGTGCCGTAACGTATAAATTTCAAATAGGCAGCACACTTTGCAAAGACATGCTGAAGATTACTTGACCGAATTGGCCAGACAAACGGTATCATAATGAGTAAGAAATGCAGCTTCAAAGGCGCATGTAGTACAAGGAACGCGTACCTTGAAAACGCTCTTGGCGCCCTCACAGCCGAAGTATTCCGAATGACGACTCGTAACAAACATGCGATAATTGTAGTCACTTAAGCTTCAGAGCATCACTGACAGGTGGCATCCATGTCTTACGGTTTTCGAAATATCTCGAATTTCGGCTTTGCCCCAACTCCGGCATTGCCCCAACTTCCCCTATGGTGACCATAGCAATCAGTGGCTATTGCATGCGAGCTGACATTTAACAGCGTAACCAGAGAGTAGCAGTCTCCACAGCTAATGCAAACTAAACTTCACATACTCAAACACAAAATGCCGTTCCCCTGACAACGAACCAAAAGTCTTCCTGACCCGCCCGCCTTGGCTGCGGTCAGCAGGTCAGAGGTCGGGGGGACGTCGGCGGTCAGTTAGTTGGCCGACCCTTCCTAGCTGTCGCAATTGTCACAGGGCCACTTCATTCAGTGTGAACCGGGCAGATAGCTCGTTCAATCATCTCTGTACTGTTCCCCGTACCTCGCCCAGCGGAGAGACGTGTTCCCAGAAGAAATAGCCGTTCTGGTGACACGGGGTTATCATGGACAGCAGCTTACACGCTACGGCAGATATCTGCAATGTCACTGTTGGCGACGCTTTCGTTCGAATCTCCTTTCATGGTGTGGACTGTATTTAATCGCGCATCGCACAGCATTTGGTTGTTTGGTGACCGAGATCCAGGAGGAAAATGGTTTAATTGGAAAATTGGGAAAATAATTGTTATAACCTATCACGTTAGCCTAGTTAAGATACAACTAAATATTGGATACAGGATAGAGCGCCGGATGCCGACGACTAAGGAACCTCCTTCTTAGGAAGTATATTTGGACCTAATAAAAGAGCGCCGGATACCGACGGCAAAGGAACCCCCTTCTTAGGGCGTATGTTAGGGCCTAAATAAGAGAGCGCCGGATACCGACGACAAAGGAACCCCCTTCTCTGGGCGTATGTTAGGGCCTAAAATATGAGAGCGCCGGATACCGACGACAAAGGAACCCCCTTCTTAGAGAGTTTTAGGAATGTTTTAGGATGAAAAATGGATAGTCAGTAGACCTGGTCACCGGAACCGATACGCCTGCCGCATCTCCGTCGAATATCTCATCTGTGTGTAGACCGCGCACTGTTTCACTTCTCACTCGGGCTTCTCACACACTTTGTCTTCTAGTTCACTATAT